GTTTGTATATTATTGTTTTGTATAATAATGCAAATGTATAGTATAATGCTATACAAATAGAATTATTAGTAGTATAGTATTATATCACTGGCTAGGGTGAACACAAAAATGTAATGTTGCCTTGGAATAACATTCCAAAAAAAAACACGCTACTGCTATCAATTGTTATGCCACTGACTCGTTACACCTCTTGGCCGGGGCATTCAGTATTTTTTCCTTTATGGACACGACTTATATTTTAATTAAATAAAAATTAATGACAATACTCTTCTAATAAAAAAGAATAAATGTAAATTTATTAATTGTTAATCACAGTATTAAGTAAATTAATATATCAATATTACGATACAAATTATATAATATATAATTATATATATATATATTATATAGTTAATATGCAACCTGGTTATTTCATATATTCAGTTCTTAAGTCCTTCATATTGGTTGATCGGCTTAAGGACATCAAAAATTCTCCTGGTAACAAACCACGATCACGTTCACCAATAGGATGCAGTCTTCTGAAGTCTTAAAAAAAGCTTCCAAGTTGTTTGCCAGATGATATATATTTGTTTTTATTTATTTTTATTTTTCATCGTGGATAGATCTAGGTTTTCAGAAATAAAAAAAGAAGACCATCGAAATAATGTTTATTCAATATCGATATTTAGGTAGATTAAAAAAAAAATTATGTCTATCTAAAAAATTCAAACACCCCTAACATTTATGGAAAGGGCCTAAATCTAAAGTAATCTATAAAAGAAATAAAACAGTAATATTAAGACAAAACGTTTAATTTTAAACAAAACTTTTTATTACGACAAAAAACATTAAATAATAACATTATAAATATTTAAAAAATCTATTTAACCTGACAAAAAACAAACTAACACCCTAATATTAATATCATAACGTACAATGTAGGTAACATAAATAGTTATCATAATATATCTAGTTAAAATTTGGGTGACAATTGTTCAAATAGACAAATTTATATAGGTAGAATTTTATGCCATAATTACTTGGTAACTATATATTTTAAATAATAGAACTTTGTTTTGATTATCTTATGCATTCATATAATGTGACATAAATGTACAAATGATAACATCAAAATATATGCTAATATTATAAGCAATAAAACAATATTACAATAGACTTTTTATAAAAATATTGAATCATCTATCATCTATTTCATCTATTTCATCTATTTCATCTGAATCATCTATTTCTGAAAGGAGTAAGTTTAGATAAAAGAAATTTTATAAAATAACGGCGCCAAAGAGGAATAGTTGAAGATTCATCCCCGAAACACAGATTATAACTGTCAGTTATTATAGTTAATATATTTATTTCTGAATTAATTTGCTTGTTAAAACTCACTGAATACTAACTGGACTCTTAACCCCTCAATGTAAGAGTACACTATATATTTTAGGAATATAAAATATTTTATATTCCCAATTGATGATTAAAAGTTCTCAAAAAATGTTTTGTTTTTAATACTCAATTGCTATTGCGATTTATTAATTACATGAAAATTTTGAAATTGTACATATATTGTTTTTGAATTCATTTTTAAGGCATTTAGCATATTATGTTGACATAAACTACGAAATAATACATTTTTTAAATTTAAATTTTTATATTATTATATTTTAAAACCAATAATGATTCACAATTTTATAAGGTATAATACGTTATATACTTAGAACTTAGTTATA